AGGAAGGAGACACCAGCACCAAAAAGCAGAGCAGATTTATTGCTGCCACAACTGTCTCCGGGGTAGTCAGCCAAGAGGGTCTCTTGTTGTGGGGCTGAAGAAATTGATGTTGCTGCTTCCGGCATCAGATTCAACATTGTTCCATGTGGCACCAGAGCTAACTGAGCCAAATTAGACACTGTTTTGGAGGAAGAATGCTTAGTGTTCAGGTGCACCATACTCATCTCTTTAACAGACTTAGACAGCCGAGACCTTCCCCCTGTTGGGGCCTCACTGGAAGTTTTGTATTTCTTCCTTGGTACAGAGGTGCTGAGATTCTGCGAAAGCTGGAGGCAAGTCTCTCACTGAAGCTGCTGCACTTGGCACCGGGTCAGACCAGGACAGCTCCAATATTGGCCTGAGCACCACCTCCATCCTTCGCTGTAGGCTCGAACGCTGAAAATATGGCATCAGCCCTTAAAGTGTGCTTTCCCCAACTGCTATTGTGCAGGTCGCTCACTGGCACTGTCCTGGAGCAAGAAGTGCATGTCACAACAAAGCTGAAACTATTTTTCTTTTTTGTTTAAGTACATCTAAAACTTACTAACTATATACTGAAGACTAGATCAACTCTCTATATACAGGATATTTACAAAGACAGAGAGAGACTGCATTGAACAGAGTTCCAGTGATGGTCACGGGTGCTAAAGATGAACTGAGGGGGGGCTACAGCACTGTACAACAGCAGGGGAGCTCAAGCTTCCCAAAAAGTACTGCTAAGAGAAAGTTTGACAACCCTACACTGGGCACACCAGCCACAAGAGTGGTAGGCATCTGTGTAATCTCCCGAAGAAGAAATTAACTAAGATAGTGAAGTTCAGCTGAAACATTTTCACTGGGCTTGGCTGATCCTAGGTTTTCTATAACAGGACTGCCAGATCTCCTCCCACCTCTCTTATGTCTGAGCAAACTAATGAGACACATGTTCCAGTGAGTCAGTAAAACCCACTTAAAATTCCTTCTTCTCAGGAAAGATTCCTTCTAACAGGGTTGGGGTATTTCACACACACACTGCCAGCCTGTGACACTAAATCTAAATTGACATTTTTCTTTTAATTTAATTCCATTTCCCTCCCATTTGCTTCTGCGATTGATGAACTCAGCATCATTCTTAACCTTGAGTTGTCCTTCCCCTCCATCCAACACTACCTATTGCAGGGCTACTCAACATGAGGCCTGTGGCTCATTTGCGGCCCGTGGTGCGGTGTGGGTTTACGGTGTGGTTCGGGTTGATATGTGTTTTAGTAGTTAAATTCCTGGACTGCCATTTCTCATTAAAAGTGCTGTCATATGGGTGGAAATCGGGTAAACATTGCATTTGATTAGTATCAGTAGAACTGAATTAAATGGGACCAGTGTGTTGTGTAGTCTTGCCTTAATCTTTGTATTCATGCCATCAGTGTGAAAGAAGCTATTTGCATATATATGCAACCACTCTAAAGTTGTGGCCCTTGGCATGTGCTGTGAGTATCATTGTGGCCCCCTGGACTTCCAAAGTTAAGTAGCCCTGCCCTATCGGATGTGCATATCCCTGTAGCATAGCACATGGAGGACAGTGCCTTGATTCCACCTCTTCTGAATTTAGTTGTGCCTATATCTTGCCCTGCTACCGTCAATACGGGCAGAATTCTGTTTCCTGCCTTTTCATCCATATAAATAACTGGGTCTGCATCACACCCTCAAACTTCTCAGCTGACTTCCAATTCACTTTGGGACTTAGTTCCGGATTCCGTTCCCTGTTTAAAAAGATGCCATGCTCTTGCCACTTTTCAGACTTGATTTCTTTCTCACTTGCTAAAATAGTATTGGTTTCCCTTTCTCCACACAACATGGCTACCTTTCATTAAAGAACACACTTTTTGCAATCCTTGCTATCTAGAAGATCCATTTAGTCTGCTTCATTTGATCTCATTCACCTTTTCACAGGTCATGTCTGCTTTCCCTGGCTTATCCCTTCTAATTTCTCTCTCCCTCCATTATCAGTCTTCTGGCAGACTGCTTTCATCTATTCACTGCACACCATTATTTCTTGTAATGTATACCACAATATTATCTTGTACTAATTAATGCTGTGAATCATTTAAAGATACAAATTGCTATCCCAGCAGATATAAAAGATGTTCTTATACAGAAAATAAAACTGCACTCTATTGATATAGATTTTTAAAAACTAGGATTGACTATTCTAAGAAAATTAATTTGAAAACATATTGCACTGTGTTGTTGTTGTTTTTTTTGTAATTTCTATTTGCTTAAGACTTGCATCTATGTGATGCAAACTTTGTAACAATTTTTAACCTCAAAATAGTTTAATAGCTTTGGCTGCATACCAACAAATAGGTACTCAGCTAGAAAAACTGCAGGAGCACAAAAACAACAAATGACAAAACTTTTAATGCAAAATCATTGAAAAGAATAATGAACTAGTTGGAAGTAAAAATGACACAGCATGACTATGAACGTAATGAGAATTCCATACTCTGCATAGATTTAGTTTACCAAAAAGAGTGAAAGCCATTCTAAGTTTGAAACAAATACGCCTCTTATTAAGGATATGTAGCTAAAATCACAGGACCCATCATATTGGTTGTAATAATAACAAAACTCTGACACTGTAAATTAATATAATCTTTAATCTGTTTAACCAGTTAACCAATTAAATGGGATTTTACATTCCTTATTCAAACCAGGATTTGAATCGTGGTCTGACTGAATTCAGGTATGTCAAAGCTGAAGCTTAACTTTTGAAGCCTTTCCCTCCCATACTTTCATCTCTGAAGAGAAGGAGTCCAAGTCCTGACTTAGGTCACAGGTAAAAGGGATTTTAGTCTTAACCTTATCTTCATTTCATAAACCTTGTCGCTGAAGAGCACATAATTGTCAACCAATCTGACACAGAAATGGTTACCTACCTTTTTGTAATTACTGCTCTTCAAGATACATTGTACATGTCCAGGCCCAGTGCATGTGAGAATCTCACCAAGAATGTGAGAATCTTATGGTGGTTCTGGTGGGTCATCAGATGGAAGTAAGCATCTTTTTAGCTGAGGTCAGCATACCAGTCCCCTCGCTCCAAGGAATAATGGAAGTTAGAGTAACCAGGCACATTTTTATTTTCTTCACAAACTTACTTAACTATCTTAGATTTATCTGCAAGGCCACCTTTGCTTTCAGACTAAAAAAATAGTGGATTAAAACCCCCTCTCTGGGAGGAGAAGAGTAACTTCCTCCCCATTTTGAAGAAGAGATTGGACCTCCGGAAGAAAATGATCTTGTGAGTGGTCCCCGAAAAAAGAAAGAGAAGGGGGTTGGGAAGAAGGAAAAGAAAAACTGGTGGGCGAATCCTAAATCCATCATGCTCAAGACACACTGAGATAATGTGGGACAAAGCACTTACGAAGTGGGGTAAACACTGGCCAAATGGGGTCAGGTGTAGGAGCTGTAGGAGCAGATGGCACTCTGGGGACAGGTCCATCCTTGGCCAACATGACAAAACACTTGTTTGGACTAAGCACTAGATTGGGAGAAGATGAGTCCGCAGAAGAGAGTGGCAGTGGTCACCGTTCGTAATTTCTAGAATTGAGATAAAGCCTGGAAAACCTGTGGTCTGCTGAGGGCAGAACTACTTCCTTTTCATCACTGTCATGTAACTTCCAAGCAACTTCAAAGTCTCAAATCCTTCTAGCCACTGGCTTGCCATTGACCATCAGCACATTTAAGTCTTGCCTCCAGCCATCTCGTAACCAGTGTACCCTGTAAGATGAGTGCTTGGGGCAGCCACCAAAGAGAGGTTCACCTGAGCTCCTTCATAGGTTCTGCTGAAAAAAAAAATCTCTGGCAAACATTCTCTGGGTGCACTCACCTAGAGTGGAATGGCATGTGATTGAAGACTGCCAGTCTTCAATCAAATGCAGAAATACATTGGGTTAGCAGTGCCGTTCCAGATGAAGGCTGAGGTACACTGGCAGCACAGTATGGAGAAAAAAATGCACAGCATTTGCCTTCTGTAGGCTAGATTCATCTGGTGCTGCAACTTTCTCACTTGCATGAGCTAAGTACTAGTCGACTTGCAAAGTATTAATCTAATAAAGTATTAAACTAGAAAAACATAAATAAATTAGTTCTTAATCATGCACTGTGATTAAATAAAAGCTTTATTTTCTATTTTTCTCCCCCAGTGGGAAGATCACCGTTCTGCTGATACCCTCTTAGCCTATTTTGCTGAGCATTACTTATACAATTCCAAATTAACAGAAAAGCCTCAAGACTTGAGTTAAGAGCACCCCTCTGTGATTAGGACCAACATTTGATACCAAATGGTTAAGCGCTCTACCTCTATAATCGTTTCAACAGAAAAATGCCAGATGAAAGAGGAGACACCTCGCCTCTATATCCTCCTGCATTTTGCCCACATAAAGTAATTATTTCCCCTAGCAAAGACTTATGGAAGAACTGTGAGAATTTCCCCACGTTACCCATCGTTCAGTACCAGAATGGTACTCTACCACAGAGCTCCTAAGAAGCCCTTTGTTGCAAATAAGGTTTTGGATAGGGTACCAATTGGATAGAGGACCACTGTCTTGGTAAGAATAAACTTGAAGAGATTGTATTATTCTCTGAATTATTTACATTACAAAACAATACTTAGGAGATGAATAGCCCCGAAGAGTAGACACTTGGTAACCAAAACTGACAAATGGGGATGTGTGCTTCTGACAATACCATCCAGCTTTTTAGTCCTTTCTCTATTTACAAATTAACTAATTTAAAAAATCTCTACTTTTACTTTCCAACTATAAATCCATTTTTCTATTCTAATTAGTTGCTCTATTCAAAGAAGATTGAGAAATTACCTTGTTAAATATAGAAAGAGTAAGAATTTCACGTCTACTTCCATGTTCTGCTACCTCTTTCTCTGCATGTACTTTGGCTGACTTAGAGATAGTGTCGATCATTCTTACCTTAATGTTGCAGGCCTGTTCCATCAGTCTTCTAGCATTCTCTTCTGCTCTGTACCTCTTTGGCAGTTGAACTCTGAAGAATTTTAAAGCTCCTTCAAAATCTGCCTGTAAAAGGTCCTCTTTTGAGGTCTGCAATGAAATACAGACAAGGACTATTATAAACACAGAGAACATCCATACTTGCTTTATCACTGGATTTATCATCTGCTAAATTTATTCCAAACAACCAGTGCTCACAATAGCTCAAAAACCATTCTCTAGGACAACAGTTCTCTAACCTACACCTCCATAAGATGAAATAAAAGTCAAGCACACATCCAGAAAAAACCCAGGCAAAGTAGAATGATAAGAGGCCTTTAACAAACTGGTGTACTTTTTTGTGTATCTGGAGATTGAGAGAGTGACTACAACAAAGCATGTCAAGATGGAACTCAGGGACAGAAAAAGGAGGAGAATTATGGTGTTTTTGAGATGGTTTGCGCATCTTAGATTGTTGCTGATTTTTGTAACGCCCGACTAGAAAGATACTGTATATAGCAACAGAGATGATCAGAAGGGCTGTGTCTACACTGGGCCACTTATTCCGGAAAATCAGCCGCTTTTCCGGAATAAGCTGCGAGCTGTCTACACTGGCCCTTGAATTTCCGGAAAAGCAA